CTCTCTCTCTCTCTCTCTGAAATCCTCTGTGGAGCACATGAACCCTTTTGATAACTCCTATGTTTCACTGGGTTAGGTCTGTGTGTTTTTGTCTGGTTGCGGCCATAAAGTGCCCAGTGACTTTAGTCTGGATTAGAGTTATGTGGACTGAAATGCAAATAAAAAGAACACAATCATGGCAAAGCTGTTCTTGGGAAATAACCCAAGCCATTGAAAGCACCAGTATTTCTCACCTCAACTTTTGTCTTATCTTTCAGAGTATAGTCTGTACAATGGGGCTGAAATGGTATCCACACCCAGAATTGCTCCACTGCATCAAAGGATGTGAGGTAAGGGCTCGAACCTGAATTAAATGTGTTTATCTTTTATTTTCTATCGTATAACACTTTAATACTTTAATCCTTCCACCTTCCTTGATCCTAAACCAAACAAAGCAAGAAGAAATCTGATATGATATGATACCAGATTTGAGTATAGATGCTTGTAGTGTAGTGTAGTAGTAAAGAAACAACAGTTAGCTTTAATATAAATGAATCTCAGGCCTAATAACCTTTCAAATGTAGTTTCATAAAATGTTATTTGTTATGTGTTTGGCCCAAGGAGTTGGACAGACAATGGATTGGCACCTAGACTTATCTACAGGCTAGCAGATGTAGGGGTAGTAGTATTTTAACGCATTGGCAAGTAATCGTCCACACTTAAGTTGCTGAGGACCTGCACAGGGTGCACAGGTGGTTGTTGGCCATTTAATTATTTGCAAGCCAGTTAAAAAATGCTGTTGCTACATGAGTATCTGGTATCAGACGAATTGATGTGGCTCATTGACACACTCACTTACTGTAATCTGATCCAATTACTGATGTATTACCTCTTACAATAATAATAACAGTAATAATATGTGGTCACATGCTAAACTTGCCTCTAAAAATGGTGCAGTCACATGTGAACAAAACATGTGAAAGAATTCCTCTTCTCTTCATGGAAGAATGATATCATCTACTCAGTTTAGGCCAATTGAATAACCTGATTGGTAACCCAAGTGAAGAGGGTGGGGCCAACCCAATAAATCACCTTATTGGAGTGTTTTGTGCAGTGAATAGTTTATGATGTCCTCAGTTTGATTTACGGTTGAGGCCCACTAAGGGCTTAAAAAGTCACAGTGAAAGATGAGGGAAATTTAATGTAATCAGATTCATCAGCAAATTTATCCAGAGCCCTCTGAAGGGCCCTGGAATGCTCTAGAGGAAACTACCACTACAACAAAAGGCTTCTTCAGTCATCTACCTTTTAAAAATGATCAGCCGGTTTAAAGGTGGCACTTTCCTCACTCAGTGATTTTGCCTAGTTGACACACTCTCTCTCTGGTACAGCCATTCATGGGAGACAACTACTGTGATGCGGTCAACAACAGAGCCTTCTGTAACTACGATGGAGGAGACTGCTGCCAATCCACTGTCAAGACCAAGAAGGTTAGTGCTTGTACTTCACAATAAACCTCACCCTTCAGGCGAAGAGATGATGTTGGATTTGGTTCTGGTCACACTGATCAACAGTCAGTATTTGTTCCCAAACTCTGGAGTCGCACATAGCTTAGGAATAAATCCCATCTCCCACATCACATGTGAGCGTTTTTTCCTTTTCCCTATGCCTAACCCACTAGAACTTCACTTTCTCACTGCCATGCATCAAGTTTTGACATTTATAGATGAAGAATGTTTTTATGTACACTCGGTAAGTATAAAGTGAACCAGAACTGAATATACTGTTGAAGACTGCTGTATTTTACCTCTTGGAACATCTCTAAACAGATTCTTCCTTTGCCATGTGTCCAACCATAGATTACTGGTAGACAGATTACTGATTCCACATCCAAGAGAGTGGGAGTTTTCAGACTCCATCTTAGTCTTTGTTTTTCTCTGATATTCAGTTTCCTAATGTGTAAAACGTCTATATTTGTCTTTGTATGCCTGTATTCATGTGAAGTCACCCACCACCCAATGGGTAGTCATTTTAAATTTAGTTCTTTCGGAGAGTAAAGGTCAAGACTATAAGGACTATAAGGAATATAATTTACTTGTACCTCTTCTAATTAATAAAAAAAATTGTTTTTTATCTGTCAACATTCAGCTGTGTTGTATTTCAGCATTAAGCTGAGAATGATAAAAAGTTTGGTCATCTTTGTTGTAGTAAGTCTCTTAATTCAGGGAGGTACTTTGTCTGGCTCATTCCAGCCAACTGCTGGCAAGGGGTCTGATTGAAAGTGCATTTTAGCTTCTGTGCTGCAGCATCTGCTTCTCTGTCCTGGCCTGTTTCTGTGAATCTGGTGAGAGACTTTAGTTGTACTCCTGGCATATCCATCTGTATGTCTGGCTCGATTTATATTGCAGTCTATGTGTCTCACTGGCTGTGTTGTGTTAGACTGGAGAGCCTCTTTTGGGAAAAAAAGACATACAGTAGGTGTACAAGGGACATCTCGCCACCTTCCACTGTACAATTTAAAGTTCACCATGATTGTTTCCGGTACATCTTCACACAATCCTTAACGCATGTTTTGGATAGTTAGTCATGAGGACTGAAATAATCATGTCTTTCCTGGCTAACAGCATTTTTACAGAGAAAGCTTCTTTGATGTTTATTATTTGTTCCTTAGTTCACCAAAGCATGGCCTTCGCTAGATGAACAAGGTTTTTAGCACTGTTGCATCACTTTTAAATGGTCACATCCACATTGTTTTCCTGAGGGTTTAATATCCCCTTCTAGTGTCCTTGAGGAAAGGTTGTATAACACCATACCCCTGCACATGCTTAAAGTCCAACTGAAATAAAAAAAAAAAAATTGTCTGCTACAGCTTACATATTTACTCTGTAAATCACTGTGTTCTCCTTTGATTTGAAACCAAAAGAGTATTTTTGGTTTCATGATGGCGCCCCTTAGTTTTTCTTTAATTCAACAGATTTCCATTAGATATCCGTCTTCTTACTAGATCTAATTTGACTACAAAAAGGGATGACTATATGTGATTTCAGTTGGACTTTAATTAAGTATAATCACTAGTGATAAGAATGGCATGTCTATGTTTTGTGCAATGTATTCATTCAGGATTACAAAAGCCCATAGTGTCTTTTTAAGTGGCTAGCCTTTTGATAGTAGAGTTGTATATGGACTAGCAAATAAATAATGCAAAACTTAATTTTTACTACTTACAAACTTAAAATCTTTAACCTTCTGTGGAATGGCCTCATAGTGTTGTAAAGCTTCCAATCACGAAATTGGCACTAAAAAAAAAACCTGCATTATTCCTGGCCAGTCGGTGTTTTTATGTAATACACAGAAATGAGACTATATCACTCCTCCGCAAAGCTGCACCTCATTCAATCAATCACCATTTACCAGGTGTCTAGTAATTTGACTCATAATTTGCAGTGCAAGTAAACTATGGGCAGATTAGTACAAGATTAAGATCACTGAGACTTTTGTAGTTAATCACAAATAATTCTGGGTAAATTGGGTTAAAGAGGCCAAACAAATTTGATTGCACTACTTGGCTATAAGATACATAACCAACCTCTGGCTAGAAAGTTCGCTTTTGTCCTTTATTCATAACTTCAGTATCAGATGTAAGGTATTGTATAAGTTCAAAAGCAGCAGGAAAGTCGGTGAGCAGCCCACTGGGAAGTGACCTCACCCCTGAAGTGGTTTTGCTGCTGTTGATTGACGCTATCTCATCTCTACATCTTCTGGCTCCATTCCAGTGCAGGGGCTCAGCCAGAACTTGCATAACTCACTTTTACTGACAGACCCCAATGGGAGGCTGGACTCCATTGAATTACTGCAGCAACAAGAGGTTGAGCTTGGCGAGGGGAGAGCAGACCATGGGTCTTGTTCATGTTAGGATTTGTCCTTTTGTACATCAAAGGGGAGCATGGTCAGTTTAACTGAACAGCTTATGTTTCCGTGTCAAGTAAGAAATCTATGGTTCAAAAGTGAAATTCCTTGATGGGTTTGACACTTTGGTCCACTGCCCAAAAAAGAGTTAGGGCTGATCCAAGACTAAAGACAAATTTCAATGAAAATATTAGTTTTTCTGCTACAGGACACTGTAAATCACCTTGTGTTCTCCTTTGGGAAAAAAATCATATGTTTCCATACAGCCAATCAAATAGCTTCACTTCGCTTGAATGAGCGACCAAACAAACATTCATCACTGAAAATTGCATTGCTAACGTCAGTTTTAAGTATCGCAATGTCACCCATTGATGGCTGTCGCCATGTCGGTTTTTCGGAGCCAGCGGCGATGATGTACAGCGAGTTCAGCCAATGTTCAGTGCTAGTGTCTCCAAAACAAGTCTTACCAGTTTGCCGAAACAATAACTATAGGGAGGATCAAATAACCTACGTGGTACTAACCAGCAAAGACAGATTGGGCGAAGAGCAGTTCTATTCCAACTACTGAAACATTGTTACTTCAGTGGGCTGCTACAGTATAATATATTAAGTGGATTACATGGGTTTAAGAACCCCAGGCTGCTTGTCCAGATTCTACTTAAATGCATTGTGCCCTTGCATTGTTTGGGGAAAACAGTCTGGCTGGTGTTTTCCACTTGTAGGTACCCTGGAAAGTATTCCGAAAGATACGAAAAATTGCTCTGAAATAACCAATCATAACTTGATTTATCGTCTGCCAGGAGCACGGGGCGAGGAAGGTTACTGTGGGTGAGAAACAAAAGGAAACATTAAGGAATGAAGCTGATATGTGAATTTGATATGGGAACAGGGGAAAGCCAGATGTTTGGTATAATCCCTTTTGCTTGTTTGTGAGCACATTGCTTGCTTGCATACAGATGTTGCTTAATAGCTTGACTAATACAAACATTTGTGTGAAAGTCAAATTAACCTGAATGTCAGTTTTAAATTAGCCAGACAACCTTCCTGACAACTTTATTTTGTTACTTTGATATTTTTTCGTCCGCATTTAAATTTCCTCCGTATTTATTATCGTTCTGGTACTTGCGTTTAGTTATGCATTTGGATTTTGTTGTATATTCCTCTCGGGCAAAGCTTATCCTCACAGTCAACCCTATTTGATCAGCTCAGTCAAAACAGAAACAGGGTATTTTGCACCTGATTCTGATTTTCCCCAAACTGAACACATGCGTGGCAGGCGAGCAAAGACGGAGTTGCATAAAAACCTCAAAAAACAAAACAAAATGACACAATATATGACAAAAGGAATCTGTAACTCATTTATGACAGTCTGTCTCCTCTGAGCTGCTGAATAACACACTTGCTGGGTGACAAAGACAGGCAGTGTTTTCCTCTTTAGCTGAAAATCAATGTTCTTCTCCAGACCACAAGTGAAGATTTTGTCCTAACTTGTTTAATTGTTCCTGAACACAGATTTTGTTGTTAGAAATTCTTTTGTCTGTGTCACAGTGGAAGTCATTTGATGTCAATGATTAATTATCTGTATTTACTGCTGGTCCTGACATTTATTTGATACACAGACAAATATTATATTGTGTTCTTACTGTGTATTTAATAGGTCTACTGCTGGCCCTGGACTAAAGCAAAAATAGGTTTATAGAAAGTGCAAATAATAAATTGGTTGGATTTCATTGTTATAGCTTAAAAATGTTGGATTTCTAAACAAATTACTCACCTAATTTAGATATAAATGTGTTTGATATCTATTTCTGGGTAGGTAAACCATGACCTGCTCTTTTTGTGGAAAAAATACCTGCATCTGCAGTATAGTGTCTTTAAATGATAGCAACAGCGAACTCTAGCAACATTTCACAGACAGGCCTGTGGAAGACTAATGAAAAAGCACATACGCACCAACTCTCTCGCTCTTAGCCCCTCTCATTCACTGTCTCATTCTCATTCAGTCTTTTCCCTCTCATTCACTTTCAGATACTCATTCACAGTCTCTCTCCCTCTCTCCCACTCACATACACATACAGCACATGAACAGACACACCAGCCATCAGCTGCTATGCATACGAGGTCTGGTGACTCAGTGGGAGTCTAGCTCAGTGTTGTTGTCCCCAGTGTGTTGTGACACAGCACATTAGAAAAATGATATGACCCCTTTCATACAACCACACACACGCACACAGACACACCTCCTATTTGTTCCTCTGCCAAAACCTTTTACATCTACTATTTCCCTCTGATCTTTGGTCATGAGGTAAAGGGAGAAAAACAGCACAAAATAACATTTTACAATAGACTTTCATTCTCCCTCATCATTCCCAGTCATATATA